CCCCAAACCCCCAAAACCCCAAAACCCCAAAACCCCTGGGAATAAAATAAGTATTGAAGTATATAAATATTCATACAAAGATTAAAAATGTTACCAGAGAAACCTCCTATCGATGAAACTGAGATGAGTCTTAATTGCTTGCTGACCTGTTCCTACGATCCTCTTAAATCTGTGTTGTCAAAGTTATTAAAGACCCAGAGGGCGCATGAAAACCTGATTCAGGAACTTGTGCGTGCTGGAAGAGGTAAGAGCTCCCAGATGTCGCAACGGAAGCTGCTTGATTTAGAAAGCAAGGCCAAAGATGTACTCACAAAACTAAAATCTCTAAACACTCAAACCTCTATCCTCCTTCAGTCCAAAGAATCCTCTAAACTCCCAGAATCTGAAATTGATGGTCAAAGAAGGTCATACCAGAGGCAGTTAGGCCAATTATAAAAATGAAATTTGCGACTATCCAGGAGGAACTGAAGCGAGCTTCCCAGAGCGACGGCTTCCTTCCTCCAAGCTTTACTGAGACCATCCCGACTGTGAAGAAGGTGTCTGACCTGAAGGAGCCTTCTCCTCAAGAGACTAATATTTATCATGAAGAAATAGACAACCTGGTTGGGGACATCGATGACAAGTTAGCTAAAATCAGAGGAACTAATCATGAACCTGAAGAACCCCAGTTTGACTTCGTCTCATTTTTGGCAGAGATCCGACTCGATGTTGATAATAAGGTAGAAAATGTACTAGAGAGGATTAAGGAGGTCGAGGATCGTATCCATACTGAATCTTTAAACCAACAGAAGCCTGGGATGACTCAAGGAGAAAAGAAGAGATTAGTGGATCTTGAAACAAAGTTAGCTGAACTTCCATCGGCTCCAACTATAGAGATTCCTGTGGAAAATGATTCCTTCCCAAATGAAGAATTCGAAAAATACAAGAAGTTGGTTGAGGATAGGTTCAATTCTCTCGATTTGAAGTTGAATGAAGACAATAAGGAGCTATTGGATAGTCTCTCATCTGCTCAAAAGAGCATCCAAGCTTTAGAGTCTGTGCGGCATGTTTCTCCTGCCTCTCATGAATCTCACACAAAAGATTTGATGGAACTCAATGAAAAAGTTCTTATGATTTATGGAATTGAGAATAAACTTAAAGATCTGACTGAAGAGAAAGAGCGGCTTGAGTCAAAAACAGAAAAGGCTGATAAAGACTTTACTAAGCTACTCGAGATCTTAGACACCAAAGTTGATGAAGACAAGTTTACAGTTAATGTAAGAGAAACTGCTCAGCATAAGAAGGAAATAGATGACCTTAAAGATTATGCAAATGAGCTTCAGGGTGAAATTTTTGCCATCAAAAATGACACAGGACCAGATTATGAGAAGATGATAAGCACTCTTCAGAAGCAAGTTAACCAGAATTATGATGTTGGGCTTGTGAGAACCCAGCATAATGAGAAAGAGCTTGAGAAAATAAACTCTAAGATAATGTCGATTAGGAGTACAGCCGAGAGTGCAGATACTAATACTATCAAGAATGGCCAAAATCTCGAAGGGATTCAAAAGAAGCTTAATGCTCTAGATGAAGCATTTAATAGCTTCCTGCTGCCTAAGGACATATTGAACAATAATGGCTCTTCGGGAGAATTGGACGCTCTGAAGGAAACTCTCTCAAATCTTAGGAAAGAATTCTTTAGGTTCAAAGATGAAGTTTCCACTAATTTTTCAGTCATTGGAGATACCCTATCATCCAATGCTGATAAGCATGACCTCAAGGAGTTTGAGAAGAGGCTTCAAGACAAAATCGATAAGAATTTAAAGAATATTATGAGAAATAAAAATGATATAAGAAGGCATATACGAGAACTTGAAGAAAAAATCAAAAATTTCAATTTTAACTCTGATCAACCAACCACAACTAGGGATGATGCAATGCTAGCTAGAAAGCATGAAGGTTGGAAATGTGCTAGTTGAGAGAAGGACTTAGTTAATATGGCAGGACTCCCTGTAGAGTTCTATAATTGGAGAAAACTTCCCAAAAATAAGGTAGAGAAAATGCCTATGGTAGGCCAAGGCTTTTCTCGTATGCTCAAAACGGTAACACCAGAGGTCCACAGCATCAACACAACCCAAAACCTCAGCCTAAATAACTCAAACCTCGCCATAAAAGAAGAGGCTCCTTCCTCAACAAAGCACTCTCGACACCAGAGTGAAAACCTACTTAATCTCAACAACTCCACTTCAAGCACCACAGGTCACAAACTTCCCGACATCTCCATAAAAAGCCCCTTCAAAAAATCTCCCCAATAACACCATTCAACATCCCTAATTTTCTCCGGGGTTTTGGGGTTTTGGGGTTTTGGGGTTTTGGGG